GAATAAAACATTATGTACCGTTCTTTCACAATAAATGCCCAATTTTTGATAAAAAACGGCGGAAACTTATTTATACTCCTAATACATATGTTGCAGTAACATTCTCGAAGTCCGGAAAACTCACAACAAATCTGTATACACAATATTTGAAGGAAATATTATTACTATATGTACAAAAAGAAAAATTTCTTTTAATAATAGATTCGTGGTCTGGTCAAACTAATAAATGCATTGTATATCGAAAATTTTCTTGATAATGACAATGCAGGAACATGTACTATTAAAGTTGTTCCTCCAAAGTGCACACCTCTATGTCAACCGTGTGACGTTTATTTTTATAGAAAAGTCAAAAATTTTATAAAGCGTTTGCAAAATTGTTCGACTTTAATAGAAAAAAACCGTGAAATAACATCTCGTGAAGATTGCATAAAAATTCATTCAATCATACATCATCAATTGTCCGCCCTGAGTTTTCGAAATATGTTACAATATGCGTGGTTTGCTTCCAAATTAACAAACGAGAGAGAGACATTTATGAATGTCAACGAAGTATGTTTTTCTATAAATATTTTATAGAAACCATGTGAATGTAAAAATGCAGCGTTTATACGATATTCACAATGTCGTGAAAATTATTGTTTTACTTGTTTTTATGACAAATATTATTCTGCATTATGTATGNTCCCATCTAGTTCCAATAAATAAAACATGTTGCATATATTTTTACATGTTGCGTACTATTATTTATCCGTTTTTTACAAACAGAACACAAATTAGTAACAATCTAATTATTTTTATCGTACTTTTTAAATCACGGATTTTTTAATGCAAAAAATGCATTTTTATAACATGCAATAAATAAATAAAAAACGTAATACTTACATTTATATTATATTGTAACATTTGAAAAAAAAAAGAAAAGTATATCGAGACTCGAACCAGCGTCCACACTACTTTTTTTTTTTTTTTTTTACATGGTGGAAATCCGTTACGGATACCCTGTCCCTTGGGGGAACTTGGGCCAGGGTTATGTGGGACTCTTCTCTCCGGCCCTCGGGTCAGAGAGAGTATACCCACTAAAACCACCATGGTGTGCCTTCACGCTCGTCTAAGAGAGGGCCCGGTACCCCTTTGTTAGGACTAAGCCAGAACCCTCCCTCGAGCATACTTCTCGTAGAAGGAGGACCTAAGTTCTCCTCCTCTTTGTATCTTCAACTAACTTAGCGGCGCTGTGGGACACACACCACCGCGCTGCTCTTTCTCAGACGGGAGTCATGTGCAGGACAAGTCCGAGCCCCCACCCGGACTTGTCACGACTCCCTCGCAACAGGGATACTCCTCCTCGGGCGACGAGTTCACCCGGGGAGGCTGTTGCGCGTCTTCTCGTCTCCAAGATTGCCCCGCCGAGGCGACGGGCTAACGAGGGAGCCGGCTCCCTCAACGCTCGCCGTCCCGGCCCTCCTTCCTGCCAAGCAGGGAGGGGTTTATCGTCAACTGGGGGCTCCAAGACCCCGAGGACGACCGCGTGAGGCGGGGGCCCTGCACCCTGCCCGCACCCGCCCTCGAGGCTCCGCTGCTGGGAGAGGGGCTCTCTCCCTCTCCCGTTCCGCGGCCTCCTTCTGCTCCAGTACTTCGGAACAGAAGGAGACCACGGCGCCCCATCTGTCCTCGTCCCCGGAGGCGAGTGCTTGTAGCAAACCCTCCAGGGAGATGTCCGGACCGATTTTGGTGACCAGTGCTTGGCGCTCTCTGGAACACCACGGGCACTCCTCCACCGTGTGGTCCGCCGAGTCACTGGCTGCCTCGCACTCGTGACACTGCGTCGTCGGCTTCTTCTTTATCCGATACAGGTACTCACCGAAGCAACCGTGCCCGGTGAGCACCTGCGTCACGCGATAGGTGAGGCGTCCGACCCCTCTTTCCAGCCACACTCTAAGGTGGGGCCGGACGACCCGGACAACTTTCTGGGCTTGAGCACGCGGCTCTCCCAGGAGCTCCTCCCAACGGTGGAGGAGTTGTTGCCGGGCCTGGCGCTCCGATTCGGCGAGGGCCTCCCTGAGGGCGTCTCCTTCAACGCCCTCCCGCAGCAACTCGGCTCGGCGATCGTACCGAGCCGAGTATAGTTGCGCGAGGAGGGCTAAGGGAGGTATCCCCGCCAACAGTCCCGCCGTCTCCGTAGGTACCGTGCGGAAGCCGCGGATTACACGGAGGGCGATTCTCCTTTGAGCCGCACGGAGCAAGCCGAACTTGCTCCGCGCGCCCGCTCCCGCCGCGACCTCCGCCCACAGCGGTGACCCGTAAAGGGCCACCGCATGGACCACATTCGTGAAGAGACGGCGGACTTTCTCACGTGGGCCCCCAAGGTTTGGAAGAAGTCTCGCCAAGGAGTTGGCGACTCTTCCAACCTTGGGGGCTAAACAAACAAAGTGTTCGTAGAAGCGCCACTTTGGGTCGAGGTGCAAACCAAGGTACTTAAAGGTTGTACCCACCTCGACCCGTGCCTCACCTATCTTGAGACTGAGCTCTGCTACCCGTCTTTTGGGGAGGCCGTGAAACACCATGGCCTCCGTCTTGTGGACGGCCACCTTTAAGCCCAGTCTCTCTATTCTGCCGACGACGCAGTTAGTGCTGGCCTCTGCCAGGGCTCTTGTCCCCCTCCAATCCTGCCCAGTTGCTACGACCAGGGTGTCATCGGCGTAGCAGATGACACCCGTCTGTCTGAGCAGGGCGGCCTGGATCACCACGTTGTACCCGAGGTTCCACAGCAGGGGGCCCAACACGGACCCCTGCGGAACCCCGCGGTACATTTCCCTCGCGTGTGGTGATCCATATCGGCCGGTGTACCTTATGTACCTGCCGCGGAAATAATCTCCGAGGATCCTGCGCAAGTATTGTGGGACGCCGTGGCGATCGAGCGCCCACTTACTACTATCCCAGGGGAGGGAGTTAAAGGCGTTGGATATATCTAAGGATACTGCCAACGCCATTTTCCCCTGCTTGACCGCTGCGTCCGTGAGGGACTTTAGGCGGTAGATGGCGTCCACCGTTGACCGTCCCTCACGGAAACCGAACTGGCAGTCAGCCAGGTCGGGACCTATCCGCGACAGGTGTTTGGTGAGGCGGGAAGCGATGACTCGCTCTAGCAACTTTCCCGCCTCATCCAACAGGCAGATCGGCCGATACGCGGACGGCGAGTCCGCAGGCCGACCCCCTTTTTGGAGGAGGACTAACTTAGCCCTTTTCCATTGTGGGGGGAACCACCCAGTTCTCAGACAGCCAGAGAGTAACTGTCTGAGACTGGCCCCCACAGGAAGCGTCCACACTACTTTTTTTTTTGTGGGAGAAATCCTTTATGGATACCCTGACCCTGGAAGAGGGCCAGAGTTATGCGGGAATCCCTCTCTCTACCCGCAAGTGGAGGAGGTGTATCCGCTAAAACTCCCACGGTGTGTCTTCCTCGCTCTTAGTAGGAGGGAACCCGGGATTCCATTGTAAGGATGCGCGCGGGTCCCCTCCTGGAGCTGTTAGCTTCTGTGAGGAGGAGAATGATTGAGAACAAGTTCTCTTTCATGTTTCCTCCTCAAGCGTTGGTCGCTTCAAACTTTAACTTGATGCCACCACAGGACACACACCGTGATGACACCCCGTCTCTTGGGCCGTGTGCAGGACGAGCCGAGGCCCCCACCTCGACTCGTCACGGCCCCGCGGCGGCTACTAAAGAAATAAGAAAACCACACAACCGTGGTGGACGGTACCACCACGGGAATATCAGCCGCCGCCCGCTTGTTTACGCGTCCTAGACGCGGCCTTGGGATCGGTGGGCTAACGAGAGGCCCGGCTCCTCTCAACGCCCAACGTCCCGCAATATACAATTGAGTTTCCCCTATTATCCTTACAAAGAGAAAGGAGAGATCCATTGTCAGGTGGGGGGCGCGCCACGACTTCTAGGACGTACGCGGGAAACGGGGGCCCCGCCACCCGCTCGCGCACGTCTTTGGAGTCTCTCCAGATGGAGAGGTAGTTTTTCCCTCTCTCTTTCGGCTGCCTCCATCACCGCGGAGCAGAAGGAGACAACCGCTTCCCACTCGTCTTTTTCCCTGGAAGCCAGCGCCCGTAACAGGCTCTCCAGGGAGAGATTATCTCCTATTATGGCGACCAGCTCTCGGCGCTCCGGAGCCCACCGTGGACACTCTTCCACGGTGTGCTCCACCGAGTCGCTGGCCGCCCCGCACGCGTGACATTGCGTCGTTGACTCTCGTCCGATGCGACACAGGTACTCACCGAAGCAGCCATGCCCGGTAAGCACCTGCGTCACACGGTAAGTGAGGCATCCGACCCCGTTGTCCAACCACACTCGTAAGTGGGGTCGGACGACCCGGACGACTTTCTGAGCGTCCACGTCTGGCTCGCTCAGGAGCTGCTCCCAACCAAGGAGCAGTTGTCGCCGGGCTTGGCGCTTCGACTTGGCGAGGGCTTCCCGCAGAGCATCCTCTGCAAGTTCCTCCCGCTGGAGGTCGACCCGGCGAGAGTATCTCGCCGAGTACATGCCAGCGAGGAGGGCAAGGGGAGGCATTCCCGCCAGTACGCCCGCCGTCTCTCTCGCCACCGTACGGAAGCCGCATATCACGCGAAGGGCTATTACTCGTTGGGAGGCGCGGAGCGATGCAAACTTACTTCGCGCTCCTGCCCTCGCGGCGGTTTCCGCCCACAACGGTGCCCCATACAGGGCCACCGAGTGGTCCACGTTGGCGTAAAGACGGCGAGCTTTATGCTTCGGTCGCCCAAGGTTCGGCTGAATACGCGCCAGGGCGTTGGCAACCTTCCGAACCCGGGGGGCCAGGCGAGCAAAGTGCTCGTCAAAGCGCCACTTCGGGTCGAGGTGAAGACCAAGGTACTTAATAGTCGTACCTACCTCGACCCGTGCCTCACCTACGGAGAGACCAAGCGCTGGGGGCCGTCAACGGAAGTAGTTGAAAAACCACATGGCTTCCGTTTTGTGGACGGCCACTTTAAGGCTTAGTCTTTCGATGCGGTCAACGACGCAATGTGTCCCAACTTCTGCAAGCAACCTGGTTTTGTTCCAATCGCTTCCAGAGGCAACTATCAAGGTGTCATCTGCGTAGCAGATGATTGATAGCTCTCTGGGGAGCGCGGCTTGGATCACCGCATTGTACCCGAGGTTCCACAGCAGCGGGCCGAGAACTGACCCCTGCGGAACCCCGCGGTACATCCTCCTTCGCTGCAGTGATCCGTACCGGCCGGTATACGTAATCTCCCTGCCACGGAAGTAGTCTCCGAGGAGCCTACTCAGATAAGGCGGGACTCTGTGACGTTCCAGAGCCCACCCTATACTGTCCCAGGAGAGAGAATTGAAGGCGTTGGAGATATCGAGAGATACTGCCAACGCCCTCCTCCCCTGCCTGGTCGACGCTTCCGTGAGGGACTTAAGGTGGAACACGGCGTCCACCGTTGAGCGTCCCCCGCGGAATCCGTACTGACAGTCGGCCAGGTCGGGACCCTCCCGTGACATGTGCTCGACGAGGCGGTTGGCAACAATGCGCTCCAGGAGCTTGCCCGCCTCGTCGAGTAAACAAATCGGCCGGTACGCGGATGGCGAGTCCGCAGGCCTTCCTCCTTTAAGCGTCCACACTACTTTTTTTTTGTGGGAGAAATCCTTTATGGATATAACCCTGACCCTGGGGGAGGGCCAGGATTATGCGGGAATTTCTTACTCCACCTGCAAGTAGGGGAGGTGTACCCGCTAAAACTCCCACGGTGTGTCTTCCTCGCTCTTAGTAGGAGGGGACTCGGGATTCCATTGGGGCGTGTTCCGTTTGACCACAGTACGATTCGACACCGCTCGATTCGACACAGATTTATTCGACACCAAATTATTCGACACCGTACGATTCG